CTGGAGGAGGGCCGCTGCCCGCTGGGTGCTATGCCACCGCCGCTGCCGCCGCGCCGCAGCACCGCGAGACTCATTCAGAGAATTGGCTACTGTGCGGCGCGACGGCCCGACCTGACCCGTCATTAGCCCAGCTCGCGCTGGCTGCGCTGGCTAGCTAGCTAGCTAGCTAGCTCGGCCCCTAGCTTCGGCCCGCAGAGGCTCACGTAACCGAGCGGGGCAGAGCGGGGCGGAGCGGGGCGGAGCGGGGCGGAGCAGAGCAGAGCCTTGTTGTTGCAATGTAAGAAGAAGCGTCGCGCGCCGCGCCGCCGATCTGCCGCGGCCGTGCAGCCGCTCGCTCGCTCCCGCAGCGGCTTTACACCGAAGCGAGTGCAGCGTACTGTACTGTACTGCAGGCGGGCAGCGGCAGCAAAAGGGCGAGTCAAACAACCCAGAGAGCTCTTCTTTCAAACGCTTGCTATGTATTAGACCATCACCACCGGGTAAGCTAGAAGAAAATAATAACACAAAAGGGGAAAAAGTAAAAGAGTAATGGAGAGGGGCGTAGGGCGGCCGGGCCCTTAGAAGGCAGCGCTAATCCAGTTTTTCCCCGCCCCCTTATTTTCCTCATCGCCTTGCCTTGGAATGCATTTCCCAAACCCAAAACCGTACATCTAAAAACACTGTTTGATAAACTTGATGGTATACAATATAGGAGTTACAAATGCGAGTGTAACAATGTAGGTAGGTGGTGCGGGTGGGCAGGCATTGTAAAACAGCCCTCTGACAAAAGGGAAAGGGTAGGTGTCTACGGCAAGGTCACTTCTGCTGGCAGTGAGCGATCGCTGTCCATCCGCGTGATGAAGGGGTTGGGGGCGCGGGCTGCAGCAAGGCCTAGCAGAGGCTTTACTTACTTCCACTCACTCGGCACAGACACTCCGACATCCCGACTCGGCCAACAGCGCAGTTCCTCATCCCCCCTGGTGGGCCCCGCGCGCCGCGCGGCGCCCCAGCCCACCGCAGGCCACCCCGACCCACCCCACCTCGGCCGACCTTGACCGCCACGCGGCACCACGCCTCGCCTAGGGGGGAGGGAAGCCTTTCGCACACCGCTCGACACGGTCCGGACAAAGGCTCCAACGAACGCTGCGCAACACGCGCAGTAACCCACCCTTTCGACCCGAACACCATTGAAATGCGCAACTTAATGTTACACACA